AAATCGACCTCTTCTAAAAGAATGAGCACAATTTTTTTGGCGTTTTCGACATGGATTTTTGTGTTGATATCTGAACTCGCCATGAAATTTGTCACATTTTCTATCTGGACAGTTTTTCAGAAACTCATGAACTTTGAGTTTTCGAACAAATTTTAGGTGGCTGTATCATTTTTGAACATCGACCTCTTCTGAAAAAATGAGCACAAAATTTTTTAGTGTTTTCGACATGGATTTTTGTGTTGATATCTGAACTCGCCATGAAATTTGTCACATTTTCTATCTGGACAGTTTTTCAGAAACTCTGAACTTTGAGTTTTCGAACAAATTTTAGGTGGCTGTATCATTATTGAACGCAGTGTAGAAATACGTCTGAATACAGCGAAGGTCAACGTCCGAGTGAAAGGGGCCTTCGCCCCCTCATTCGCACGTTGACCTTCTTATATTCCCAGGCTCGTGGATAAATGACAATTTCCAAGTGCATGAGGGCCTGGGGTGGCCGACGCGAGAATCTCGATACGGTCTCTCACCTCTTTCTCATCTTTTCTGTTATTGGTGTATCGTTCGAACCGCAAAATATGGCACCGGCCTCAGAGCTCAGTCGCCCGCAATCCCCATTCGGTGCCAGGAAAAAAGGGGATGGATCAATCAATTTGTTTTCCTCAGCTAAGGAGTGTTCCGTCTTCATGAATACGGAAACGCTAAGACTATGTACATTTGCCATGGTCAGAAAATCGTTGCACTCACCTGAGAAATTCGTGAAAGGTTCTTGTGAAACAGCGAAGTTTTATCAAAAATAAATATTAGACGTGAGATGTACAGCAAAGTCAAAATTATGGATAGAAGCTCTACCACATATAGAGGCCAAATGCTGTGGTCTGATAGGTGAACTGGCTCCAAATTGACTATGGACAGGAAGAACTCATTGTTTCCGATAGTTATTGTAAGCATTCCTTAACCTTAACAAGATTATTATTGAGTCTGATGGAATACGAAACAGAGTTCTGGAGTTCAGGAATGCTGAAACGACAGTAATTGCAATTTTAACTCGGACAATGATATCGAAAGGTAATGTTGATTGTTCGGTTAGTAGAAAGTGGTGATAAATTACCCGCGTCAGAAAAAACGTCTTAGCTTCATTTTTTGAACATACAAATCAATTTCATAAAACAGCAAACCCTAACATTCCATAATTACAAAAAGTCATCTTCAACTTTTTTGCTCAGCTCTTCCTGAAAGAAAGTTCCGTTCGCTGAAAGTTTGAAGATATGGAGCAGTATCAGTGTCCCCCATCAATTTTAGTCGAGTCAGTCATGTCATGGAAATCCATGCGAAGATATATTCAGGTCTTCGAGAAAACTCTGGATCTCTAGAACCAGAGTCACAACTATGTTGTCTTTCTTTGTCTATGAACAAAAAATAAGGCCAGGATATTTTTTCGTGAATTTTAGCCACCCTGTATATGACAGATTAGATTCTTTTCTCGTAAAGGGAAGCGCTTTAACAGTTACTAAAAGAAAAACATTAAGTTGTGTAGCATGATAATATGTCTAGCTATTAGGAGTTATCTACTATTCACTGAATACTGGGATTACCGAATGGTATTACTTCAAGAGACAAACATATGAAGGAAGTCGGCAGAGATTGTAGCTATGGCAAACGAATTCACAAACAATTCTGTGGCGCTGACATCAGTTATAAATCTTTGTAGTCATAACAAAAGAATAACAGAAATTTCCATAACGCCAAAGTCAACCACAATCGTCATTGTAAAGTGAAATTACCAGTCTTTGTAGAAATACGAAGTTGTGAACGTGAATCAGCTAATGTATGTTATAAACTCAATAATTCAACATTAACTGGTGTTCAAATGTGAACAGAAACTTAGTTTACCTGATTATGTTCCTTCCACTTTCATATATGTCGTTGCACTTCGAATCTGGATTTCTGGATTCTGAGAACACAATCTTCAACACGATACTGATTTTTTCACCTCTTTTATGCCAGTACAAGTTCAGAAACTTCAAGAAGCCAAAGACTTCAGATTGGAGGCCTTACAAAACATCGACATCAGATGCTGCGTACCGTGAACAAGTGTAATTCAACAGCTTGGTTCCTGAATCACGCTTCAGAATGCTTAAAAAAATCTTTTAAATATCACTGAGTACTACGAGACTCGTGCCAGGTATAAATCTTCAGTGGGGCAGCGATGTGATTTTTCCTTGCTCAAAGAAACAAAACTTCGATTCTCCCTGAAACTTGGCATCAAATCGGTGAAAGCCACCAATGCCTTGAAAGATCCTTCTTGTCAGTGAAAGAATTACTGGAAAAAACTATTCAAGGCCATTCCAAGGACCGCGAAGTGGTGGAAGATGTTCCTACCACCTCATGGTAACCTGTGAAGGTTGCGCAGGAGAATGGTAAACTGAGAAATTCGTGCAGGAGACATTATGAACCTTTCCCCTCCCCTCCCCGCGCGAAGATTCCTCATTAGAGTTGTCTTGGTGAGTTTGCACTCAGAAGTAGGGAGACCTCACTAAGTGGCGGTACGGGGATAAACAGCGCTGTCCACT